CAAGAAGGCGGGCATAGTGGATCCGGGTGGCTATGTTCTTGGTGAACCAGGTTCGGGCACGAGCAATCCCGAGTAACCGACCTAGAGCTTTTCCCACCCGAGCTCTGTCATCAACCTCCGGGATGATAAGCACATCAGTGGAGCAAGTCAAATTGAATCCCACCTACTTTGTAACACAGTGCAACAGCCTCGAAGATAGATGCTCCAACTCAGAAGTGGGAGGAGTAACTTGAGAATCAAGCCCATGGATCTCCTCCTCTGAAATAACATCAACGTCTCGTTGGAGCTCATCATCTTCTTCGGCCTCACACATTCGCTTCATCATACGGGCTTGAGTATCAAGCATGAGGTGTGGGTTGTCGACTTGTGCCTCAATCGAATCGAGACGTACAGTGAGGCTCTCTATTTGAGTGCTCAGCCGAGCACATCCGAGCTCAATCTCCTTTTCTTGGTTTGCTCGGGCCATCATCCAATCGAGGATGAGGTCGAGCTTGGAATTGTACTCTGAGGAGTCGTCCTGGAGCTCATTTAGATGCTCGGGCATGGGATGTGGGTCCACAACCTCGAGCTTGTGGGCCTGGGACTCGATCGAGTCGATGCGCTTTGCTAGACTTTCCACGTGCTCGCTCAATCGGGCACATCTGAGCTCGATCTCCTCCTCTTGTTTCGCTCGGGCCATCAATCCATCTAAGATGAGATCGAGTTTGGCATTGTATGCGGCCTCTTCTTCTCGAGCTGATTGAGATGTTATAAAATCGAGAATCTGGTCGAGCTTTTCATTATGCTTGTGGGACTCGTAAGTTTGCTCGACCGTGTAGGGATCCCAGCACTGCTCGGAAGAGTACGGAGATGATTGGTAGTAGCACCCGATGTGATAGCTCGGCTTGTGACCCCAAGACTGGGTGTGCGGTGAGGGAAACACATGGTTGAAGTTCATATTTCCTGCACACCAAAACAAAACAACCACACGTAGCCACGAAGAGGAAAGAAAAAGAAGACAAAAAGAAAAACAAAGATGCACAAAAGAAAGAACAAAAATCCCAAAAACAAAAGACAAAGAGAAATACGGAAAATAAAATCAATACCAAAACCAAATATCCTACTTGCCGTCCCCGGCAACGGCGCCAAATTTGTTGTGTACAAAGTGTTATATTACCGAGTACCGAATCGAAGGATCCGTTTCCCAGGTCGATCTCTCGAGGAAGGCGGTTCGGAATTTAGAATTGGTATTGATAACACAAAAAAGAAAAATAAATCCTAAACACTCTAATCAGATTGGAGAGGAATTAACTATCAACTAAGAAATAGCATAAAAGCATAAACCTAAAATACCAACTAAATAATAATAAGGAAACTAGGGAATCGGGGATAATTTATTCAAGTTCGCAACGTAAAGCCAGGCAATTGATCGTTCGGTTCGGAATTGACACTCTCGCCTACACGTCTAGCGGTTCACTCCCAATAACTCTTCGTAACATGGAGTTGAACATAGACGAGCAAGTTTGAGCATACAATACCGGCCAAGTATCCAATCCCAATAACTTTTCGTAACAAGGGACAAGACACCGACAAGCATGTATTTCAATCCAAAACCCATAGATTATTCAGTTACGAAATCATCTATCTCATGCGAGCCTAGGTCTACGACTTCTCCCCTTTCGGTTCTAAAAGTCGCTAATTCAATTAGAAGGTGTTTAATCAACTAATCATGTAGGATCAATAAACCCTAACTCAACAAATCAATATTCAAGCGCAAAATCGAAGTGTCGCTCTTCGATTATATCAATAAATTAACCTAAGTGTCACTCTTAGGTTATATCAATTCATCAAGCAAGAATTCATCAAGTCCTAATTAAATTTACTCGCACAAAAACAAACGAATCAAGCCCGAAAAATACACGTTAAACGAGAACAATCATCCCCTATCCCTAGCAATAAGATTTAGCTAAGTAGCATGAATTCAACACAATAAAGCAATTCACCCCAAATAATCATTCTCATGAATTAAACGAGATGAAAAATACTTACAATCAATCCAATCCGAAAGTTGAATCCAAAATACAAGCTTAATCCCTAAAATGGAAAAGAAAGAAAAAAGAAAGAAAAATGGAGAAGAAAGATGGAGAAGAAAGAAGATGAAGAAGAGGAGGAAGAAGAAAATGGAGAATGGAGAGGAAGAAGATGGAGAATGGAGAGGAAGTTTTCAGGCTAGGGCACCCCCAATCGCACCCCTCTTTCTCCCCCCGTCAAAAATCGCAGAAATTGGGTTTTAAAGGTTGAAACGCGCCCTCCACGGCCGCGGGATTTTCATTGCAGAAATTTGGGACCTGGCAGCTTTTCTTCGCCACGGCCTAAAGGGTCGCGGCCGCGGAGACCAAAATCTGCACTGCACCATCTTACGATTTTTGCTCGTTCGGGTTCGTTTTAACTCAGAATTGAGTTCCGTTTTTTCCTACGTGTCGCTAACGAACCCCTCTATCTAATGATGTCAGCTTCCCCACAAGATTCTCGAAAACCTGTTCTCCCAAGGTCTTCAAACTACACACCAAAAACGAAAAGAGAACAGAAAAAGACCGGAAAACAAACGAAAAACATCGCAACACTCAAATGAACGCAAAACACATAATAAATGACAAAATGATCCTAAAACCATCTAAATGACTCAATATGAGGGACAAAATAACAACGAAAAACGCAACAAAAATGGGACAAACAACAAGTAGAAATAATTATGTCTATACCTAAAAGACATTATTTATCTATATTAATGCCTAAAGTTACCATTTCCTTCCAACACTTATTCCCTTAATTCACGCTTATCCCCTTAATTCACGCAGGTTATTTAATAGAGATATCAGGTGGTATATATTGAGTTTATGGTAGTATATATTAGTATATATTGAAATGAAAAACATGTGTTCCATCAAAAAATTATGTCTTTTTTTTTATTTTTATTTTTTACATAAAATACATATATAATTTATAAACATATTACAACAAGTTACTTATATTTCCTATTACAAAAAAAAAAATCTTGTAATATACTGAACATATACTCTTTGTACACACAAAATATACTGAACAAATTAAAAAAATCTTCTAATATACTGAACATATACTCCATATATGTTCTTTAAATTCTTGTAATATACTGAACAAATTAAAAAAAATCTTCTAATATACTTATAATACTGAACATATACTCCATATATGTTTTTTTTTTCTTATTTCGATAGATCTCACCATTCCCACTCTCCAATACAAAAACTTTTTGCCTAATCCCAGTTTCAACCACCATTCGATTAGTTGGTAATAACATAATAATTTGCTCCCTCTAGTGAAATAGGTTTTTAAGATCCAATTTTTAAGCAACAACCCACCATCATCTACTTTCTCCCTTATCAATGGGCGCTTCACAGTCGGCTCAAATCCCATCTGAAGACGAACAACAAGGAGAAGAGGAAGATGAAGACGACGATGACGTGGAAGACGACGACGACGTCGAACGGGCGGTAGCCTCCGCCATGCTTGGATCCGGATCAGCCTCTTCGTCTTCTTCTTGAACGAAGAAAAAAGAAAAAAAGAAAAAACAGAGAGAGTAAGAGAGAGAAGGAGAAGAAGAGATAGTTGATTGAGAGGAGAGAGAACCGAGAAAACTTGAACGGTTTCTGCATAAAGACGGGGATCGTAGGCGGTGGGGGTGGTTACTTTACCTTTTTGTTTCCATTTTTTTGGTAAGTTGATATTTAATTACAATTAATTATCTCCTTACCATTAATAATATATTAATAACGGTTATGTGTGATTTAAGTACATTTGATAATTTTTTTGCTTCTTTAGCTAAATTTAAAAATGCTAAAATTTAAAAATGATTATAAATGAGGTGGAAAGGTGTAATATAATTTCTAAGATTTAGTAAGGGATGCAATTTTCTCATTTTTAATTGTAACATGGGTTTAGGCATTTGAGAGTTTGTCTTTGATTTAATTATAATACTAATTGTCATTTTATTAGTATTTAAAAGATGAAGAAAACCAAAATATTATATAGAATGAATAATAATGAATATTTATAAAGTATTATGAATAAATTTTAAATATTTTAAATTGTCTAAATATTTAATTAATTATGTTTTTATATATAAAATTTAATGTATAATACATTATATATAAAAATATTAATATATTAAATATCGGTCTAACCGGTTCAACCACTGGTCCGACCAGTGAACCATTAAACCAGTAGCTCGATCGGTTCGATAACTGGTTCGGTTTTTAGAACCATACTAATGAGAAATAAAAAGATCTAATTAAGATAAGAAGGAATCTAATGATAATATGAGATGATAAGAATGAGATCAAGATAAGACTAAACGCCGAGCATCCGAAAGCGATTACGAGCAGGCTGACCGGGGCAACTGGGTAACTCGAGTAACCCAATCTTGGGCACCAAGACATTCCCCTGCAAAAAGGATTGAAGTACAATTGTAAACTATCTACAAATTCTCTTACAGAGCATTTGTCATCATCTTCCCCTCTACTAACTTAAGCGTTAGAGTCTTCATACCAAAAGTTCTCCCGACCTTTTATTTTGCAAGTCTTTAGCTGTTCTCAGACGACCGGAGCCTTACAACAACCGATTAACCTCAAATCTAGTTACCTCGTACATTAATCGTTTTGTAAATTTTAAAAAAAAATATACATTAAAAATTCATTTGCTCTAATGATACGTTTTAATAAATTAATTATTTTATTTTACTAAACCTAATCGACAAAAAAACATTTACTACCACTTACATCACACCTGCACAGTGCACTTTACTAATTTAATAAACAAGAAAAACACGAATTTGTACCTTAACACAAGTTTGAACATAGGGTACTTAAACTGAACTCTGAGCTCAACTCAAATATCTATAGTTTATAATTTTTAATAACACAATCTAAGTATGTGTGCATATATTTCAATAGAAAATGAATTAAAAAACAATATAGTTGCACCAAAAACATATGTTCCTTCACTTTTGTTAATATTAAAATTGTGTTTTACAACGATCATCTCTCGGTATTAATATATTGTCCTTACAATCTCCCGCTCCCCAAATAACCTGTTTTCAAGTTTGCACAATCCTCGCATTCAATTTAATTATATCTTAAATTCTCAAATATAATGTAGTCTAAAATAATCAATCGACTAATTAATATAATAATTAATAGCAACTAAAGGGATATATATAAATTAATATATATAGTAATAAGAATTAAAAGTTTGGGGGAGCTCCAGCATATGTGCAACACTTTATTTCAACTACTTGTCCTCGAAGAGTTTGGACGAGTTTTTCCATAGTTACAATAATATATCACAAAGTTGCAAGTCCACATAAAAGGGGCAAACATTAGAAAAACAGGAATTATACTGAAAGTAAGTAAAAGATGAAGCCGTTGGATTGCAGTAAGTAGGAACCCCCTTTTTCTTCAGGATGCTATTTTGGACTGGTTTCGAGCTTTTTCCTTTTCCTTCACTTCACTCCCTTGACTCTCATCAAATTCTAATTCAGCCAAAAAATAAATCCAACTCATATTTCAGAATTTCAATTTTCAACCCAAAAGATTCAATTACTCCAATTACCCCAAAATTAAACAAATAAAAATGAATTATATTTAAATTGACGAATATATATATATATATATATATATACATATATACCAGTGTCTTTGCCATGGACGTTTTTCTCATCATCGTCCTTGTCAAGGTATTGGTTCCCCCCATAGATTCCACCAAACCCTTCTTCATCTGACCTCGTCGCATATGCTTCGCCCATTGAGGACATTGTATCACTACTCACATCAAAATCATGCTAAAAGGCTAATTAGTAGCACACCACCTTAATTAATAATATTTTATTTTCCAAGGATAATCATAAAAATTAATAATTTTAACAGCGAATTTTCATTCCCTATGTAAACATCTAATTGCATAAATCTTAATTAATAATGAAGTCATATATGCCCCCAAAATTTTTTGAAAGTTAGATTCCAATATTTTTATTAATTTCTAATATACATTTACCGAAAAAAAAATAAAATAAAAAAATCACGAACCTGGTGTTGGACGTTTCTGGGCTTTTCTTCTGATCCATTTCTTTCGCTGGGCCTTTTTCCTGATCCATTTCGTTGGAAGAATCGGTTTTGTTGGGCTCAGATCCGGGCCTGGATACCGATTGCACAAACCTTAAACTCGACGGCTTTCGGGTAATTATATGATTTGGCAGCTGCGAGTACGAGAAAACTGATATGGGCTGCTGTGTTCTTTTTAATCTTAGCGCATTAATCATTTTCTTTAACCTCCCTATGTTACACTGAGCTGCTCACCGATTTTATAGAATCGTTAACAATGGAATATAAAATTGTTACATTTCATAAAGAGTGGTCATAATCGGACACGTGTTCTGCGTTTTGCTGCGTGTGATATATGGGTTCTGGCAGCTTCACACGTGTCCGTTGGGTTTAGACACGTGTTCTTCTCACGGGGCTTGCTCTTTATCGATTTTGTTTTTCCTTTTCTCTCCTCGATTTTGTTTTTTACTTTATAGATAGGATCAAGGAAAGTATGAATTGCACGCACTTACCTTGTGAAAGAGAAAAAGGATGCGTTTCAACATTCAATAACTGGACGACGGATCAATTCAAGGAATTTACCTTTTCTGAGCGTGGCTTGGCAGGGAAGGAAAAACGACTTACCATCCTAAGGCGCAAGATAAAAAATGAAGAGAAGCTTGTTGAAAGACGCACATTGTTTTTTATAGAGAGTTCTCTTCCTTCAAGAAAAATGAGCAGAGTTTGTTTTTGATGATTATTAATTTGTAAATCAAGAGGGTGTTCTTGATTTTATTGAGAGAATTATATCAATCCCGACTGAGTGTTCGGAGGTTTACTCAGATCAGTTTGAGGGAGTCAAACTGTAAAAACCACGATGGATTTGTGGTCGGATAAGTAGTGGTGTAGGCAGTTACTTCAAGTACAGTGTAGAAGGAGTTTACATTGTAAACTCTTGAATAATGGCTGTGAGATTTACACTAATGAAAGAGATTCGAGGAGAGAGTGGAACACTCTCTTGAAGAAGGTTCAATTTTGAGAAACTATGCTTCCGCAACTGGTTGAACTTTCTTAAATTTACTATCTCTTTTGTATTTAAAAGCGCTATTCTGGAGGTATTTGTATACGTATACAATCTCAATTACTATCTTAATCCACCAACTTATCAACATACGTCGTAAGAGACTGTGGGGTGGGGTTGGTATCCTCTGTACGAGATGGATGCACTATACATCACCAGTCACAATTCATCACAATTTTCTCCTAGTTAAAAGCTTTTTATAAACTGTACTCAACGACTATAATATCTCTTGATTAGATAACACTGATAGGAGAAAGCACATCCAGACGTTCCATATTCAAAATCAACAATATCACGAAGCAAATGACATAAAATTACGAATTGGATCATGAATCAAACAAGATATCACTACGGGCAGAAATTAAAAAGGACGTGAATACTAAATCTGATCAGACCGGAAGGTAGTAATGTTGACAGAAGTTGATGGCTGAAAGTTGACGACGAACAGCGGCGGAGGTGAGTCACACGCGTCTGCTAAAGCTTCCGGCGTTGTGACGAAGACGAGGCAGGTGTGGGCCTCACGCCGATGATGGACCAGATAATTTTCGGTGTAAAGGCTCTCCTTGAGACGCCGAAGAGGATGACGGGATGGTGAGAGTCGATTGTGGATGGAGACGAGCAACAAAATACCTAGTCTATGTTTAACCTTTACTCTAGTCTGATACTATGTAAACATGTGAGAAAAAAATATGTACACTTAACCTAGCCGTCAGTAACCTAATTTATAATATAACAATACAATATTATAACTAACAGGAGGGAGTCGGTCTAAGCCGATTTTTAGTACATACATACATAACAGTGTGCATGGATATAAGATACAAAATAATTTACAAAGAATAATATTGGACGATGGCATACAAAAAGTACATTTATGCATACATGTGGTCCTATTAATATATCGCACAATCGAATTTTACATGTTGCCCCCCAATAATTCCTCATGTGAGCGTCGCGGAAAGTGCAGCCAAAACAAACCTTCGAAAAAAGCCAAGAA